AAATACTTATTTGTTACTAACTCATTAAATCTCTGGATTTCCAAAATCTCTTGTTCTATGACGCCATCATGCCACTGAATGATAGCCACACAAGATTTTTATTTTGCCAAGGGGAAGGCCCTATTCCTTACTGTTGTGAGATTTGCGGCATCTTTCCAAAAAAGACTCAGTGGTTTTAGGGAACTGAGCCTTTGTGCTTTTCTGCTGGAACAGTCCATACAACTTTACTTAGATCCTGGATTCCCTACTTCTTAGTCTTTTGGAGATTAATTTTTTGCAAAATCAGCCTCCATAGCTTTAAAATCCAAATAAGATCCTTCAAAATTTAGTAAGGAGAGTAACAGTGCCTTTCAGAATCCTACAGAGAAAAATACAAAAAAATCACTTGACCCCCTTGAGATGTGCAAGGTTTTATTGTTAAACACTAGGGACAGAAGTTACATACAAACCATTTAAGTGATCAGAAACTGGTTTAAAGCTGTAACAGAACAGGAGTTCATAGCATATAAACCTCTTTCAAAATAGCCAGAACTGTTTTAAGATAAACCTGGTTGGATGTAATATCAGACTTAACTGATTTAGGTCAAACTGATTTATGGAACTTTTGTCCCAGATCCCCTCCTGGTTCAAGTTATCTCACAGTCCCCAAGCATCCTAGGATTCATTGCAGCCCTAGGCTGTGCTGTTTGCTCTAACAGGCAAGGTTTGCTCTGCTCCCTAGCCGGAGCACTGTCACTCTGGGTAGCTGAGAAGGGGGTGGTAAGAAAGCACCAGACCCCACAGCTGGGTGCTGCTGAATGGAGTGATAGATATATATGTATGAGGGTGGGGAGAGGAGGGAGCCAGATCCCTGGCCGGGTGCTGCCTGGGAAGGGAGCCTGCAGCGGGGGCTTAGCTCTGGCTCCCCAGAGCCAGGAGCTGGGAACCACAGCCCCTTCTCGGTCTCCAGGCTGGCTGAGGGCAGGGGATGGGGAAAAGCCTGGCACTGGGGCTTGGCTGCAACCCCAGAGCCAGGAGCCACACCCCCTTTTCAGCCTCTGGGCTGGTTGGGAGGAGGGAGAAGCCTGTACTGGGGCTTGGCTTCGCCAATCAGGAGCAGGGCTGGAGTCCCCTTCTCAGCCTGTGAGCTGGCCAAAGACACGGGGGGGGGCAGAAGCCCACAGCAGGCCTTGGTTCCACCCTCCAAAGCTGGGAGCCATGTCTCCTCTCAGCCAGCCTAGAGGCTGAGAAGGGGACTTGGAAGGGGACTCCAGCCCTGCTTCCGGTTCTGAGGGGCAGAGCCAAGCCCTGGTGCCAGGTGTCTTCCTCTTCCCAGCCAGCTGGGAGGTTGAAAAGGGGATGTGGCTCCTGACCAGCCAAGCCCTGGTGCATGCTTCTCCTCTTCCTCCCCTGCCCCCCCCCAGCGAACCCTGAGGCTGAGAAGGGGCCGTGGCTTCTTGTTCCCTTGCCTCCTTCCCCCCCTGGGGTCCTGTGAGTCCATGCGGGGCAGGGGGAGCTGGGGGCCCCCTCTGGCAGGGCTGGGGGAGGGGGGCAGTGGGCTGCAGGTCTGGAGTGAGGAGCACTGGCAGGGCTAGGGAGGCTGTGGCTTGAGAATGAGGGGCAATGCCATGGGCAGGGGCAGGGCACTGGCATATTGGGGCTTCTTAGCACCACAAAGCAGCAGGGGGGGTAGCTGCAGCTGGACCCACATCCTGGTGAGTGGCCAGGATAAAAAAACAAAACAAAATCAAATGCCAAACTATATAGGTATTTCAAATTTATTTTATTATAACTATTGAGGCACTGGTAGGCTTCCATATTGCCTTAAAACTGTAAATATATAAATAAAGCACTGTGTTTAACTGATACATACATATACATATATGGCATTTAATTTTAATAGCAGAAAAACATGGATTTTGGCGGTTTTAATCAGAATTTGGGATTTTTAAATGGAGAAAATCAAGACTTCTCATCATGATCATCTCCTTTTGCCTATTTTTCTCTGCATTCCTAAGGAACCACAAACAACAACATAAGATTTAATATTTGAAGGGAGTAACTTGATGGTAAAACAGATTATGCTTTAAGATTTTGGCATGTGTATCCCAGCCTGTAAATAAAAACACTTCAATCTGAATTTATATTAAAGACAAACTGCATATAGGCCACCAGAGCCCATGATAAAAAGATATAGCTATTTGAAAGCCATCTACAATTTCCAGTGCTTCAAACCACCTTCTCTTTTCCTTGAGAAAGCAACAAATTTGACTTCTTGATAGAACATAGCTCTGGCTCCCTGTAATTTTTCATCCCTTTGGCTATCATGTAACTCATTTCTGTGATGCCTGGTTCACTAAAATTTTATATCAGTGGATGTTTGAAGGTTGTATTATTGGGCTTTGTCAGGGGTGTCAAACTCGCCTTGGGCCAGATACAGATTTCAGGGCTCTTTGCAGGCCAGATCCAACCTGGGACATGAGGAGCTCCTCAGCTCCTGCTCTGACCTGGAGTACATGATGGCAGAAGTTCTGGCTTCAGCTCCAACCCAGAGCATGCGGTGGCTCTGGCTTTGGCTTCAACCTGGAGCTTGTGATGGCAGCTCTGGCAATGGTGGCATCTTTAGCTCTGGGGTACGTTATAGTGACTCCAGCCTCAGTGGCATGTCCTGTGCTGGGACTGGAGCTGCTGCTCCTGCATGCTTTCTACTGTGACAGCAGCTGCAGCTGTAGCTGTGGCTCCAACATGGGGTGAGGGCTGGTGGCCGAGGAGTTAGGGCCACAGCAGTGTGGGTGGGTGAAGCAACTGGAGGGTGACCAGGGCTTTGTCAGTCCTCATTTACCCTCATGTTGATTATCATATACACTGGGGCCCATGGGCCCTTGATTTTGTGCCAGGTGGCTCCTTCTCCCCCACCCCTTCCAATCTAGCCATGCTGGTAGTCCAGTGGGCCAAATAGTGCTGCTCAGGTGGCCAAGTTTGGCCCTCATACTTTATGTTTGACACTCCTGGGTTATATGATTCAATTCTGATTTTTACTCCTTTCTCACTCTCTCCTCTGTCCCATTCATGCACTCCTTTCGTGAGACCCTGTTAAAAGAAAAGGTGTAATTTCTATGATCTCTTGGTGCAATAGAAGTACTGCATCATCAAGGGGGGATCAGGGTTCCATTCAAGGTATTTCCTTACCCCAAAGAAAAAGGGAAGTCTTGGTCCCTTTCTATATCTTTCTGTTCTGTGTTGTTCCAAGAAAACTGATCTGCCTGCCTTGCCATATTCAGTTCTTACTATTAACCTTGTGTGTCTAGCTCTGCCATCTGCTGGCTGTATGCAGTGTGCTAAGATCAGGGTTTTGAGGGTTCTGAGAGAAAGATTGGGAAAGCTGTCTGCATTTGGCTGACTTAATAATTGTAATTTGCGTAAATTTGCTGCAAATGCAAACCAATGCTCTTAGTATACTCTTGGTAGCTGAATAAGTGTATAGGTTATTGCATGATGGATACAGGTTTCCTGTCAATTTAGAATGAAGTTGGCATGACAGAAGGAGACCAGAATGGAAGGAATAGCCTGAAGTGAAAGTGCAAAAGAGGTAAGGCTGAGGAATGTTGCAGAGGTTTTTTGTAGGTGGTTTTTCAGATGAAACTGGAGGCGATTTTTATGGATTTGAGGGGATGTGGAGGGCAAATTAAAAGTTCAGATCTCCATAGGAAATATTATTTACTGACAGTAGGCACAAATGTTAGATTGCAGACAAGGAGGAAGGAAGGAGTGAAATGAAATTTTGGATAGTTAGGTTCTTTTACGAATTAGTCATTTTACATTTCAGCTTTGGATATGCTGAGAAGAAGGAAATTGTTAGAAGCAAGAGGATGTTTTGCCAAGCAGAAAATGAATTAAGATCTGTTGGAAAGGATACTTTATGGAATGTGGTCTTTTTATTTCAAACATGCAACTTTCTCTCAATTTCATCTTTCTAGTGCTGTTTCTCTAAGTTTTTGTGAAAATTGGTGTGAATAATACTGAAGCAGGAAAAAAGTATTTTTCATTAGCCGGTTTAATAAACCTGATTCTTTTTGGTGACTGCTGAATATTTAACGTTTAGTACCTTTTCATACTTCAGGCTACTAATAAACTAAATTGCGTCTCATTTCTTTTTCTTTCTACTATTCCTAGGAACCCTGAGTCCTTTTTTCCTGGAACCCAGTGGGGTTTACTTGTGTGCTTAATTGTAATTCCTTTCCTTTCTTTTTCTCATTTAAAAGTTCAATATTTCTTTTTAAAAACAAGTTTTGAAAGGTCTGATAATGGAAAGTCTGTTGTGTTGTAGCGATAAATAAAAAAAAAAGATTTTGTTTTAGTCTTGCAGTGCTATAGTTGAGGTCAGTGAAGGCTAACTTAATAAGGAGAAATGCATGTACAGAATTGTCAGTCTATAAACTGCTACTTACAGTCTTCGGAGTACTTGCAAGCCTGTTTAATTGCTGTTAGCTGCTGCTAGGTCAATCTGCATGGCAGTAGCGTAGTTTATTATAAAAATGGTAACCTACTGCTTGTATACTAAAGAAACACCATAATGAAAATCAGTATTAAGAGAGTTCATAAAAATAAAAAAGGTTGGAAAAAGAAAAATAGCATAAATGAACAGCATATGTTTCCATTTTAGGTAATAAAAGAAACATTAAATTTACTACATAATGTCTTTTCTCATATATTGGGCTATTTTAATATTAATTGTTTGCAATGTGTGAAATTATATTGCACTAATAACCACATGGTGTTCAAGTTACTTTAGAATTGGAGAACGCATTGTTTTATAGTTTATATATTCTTCAAAACAATGTAGTTGAGTTATTGTGTAACCTTAATAAGCTTTCTTTACCTTAGTTGAAGAGGGGAGACTGATATTATTTGCCAACTTTGTTGCATGTCAGCATCAATACATTTATTTTAATTCAACTTTAATATATTTGATAATCTATCAATCAGATAATTTAATTTCATTTCTTTTATTTTTTCCACAGATTATAAAACCAAGAAGCACATGATCCTAAAGTTTTCTATGTACAGCTTCATAAGGATCTCTCCTTTAAAACTGCTGTCGAAGTAGCACTGATAATAATTTGTCTGAAGCATAATGTGGTGAAGCAGAGGAATAGAAGTTTTCCATCAGTGCACGGGCAATGGACTTATAATGTTTGTTATTTTGTGAGCTAAAACAGTTTTGGAGTGAATTGAACATCTGAAAATGCGGCCATGGACTGGTTCCTGGCGTTGGATTATGCTCATCCTTTTTGCCTGGGGGACATTGCTCTTTTATATTGGTGGACACTTGGTACGAGACAGCGAGCACCCAGATCATTCTAGCCGTGAACTGTCTAAGATACTTGCAAAGCTTGAACGTTTAAAGCAACAAAATGAAGATTTAAGGAGGATGGCAGAATCTCTCAGGTATGTTTTAAAATGAATAAATTATTTTTTAAAAGTCTTTATGAGGTGTCAGAAGGTTCTTTGACAAGTTTTATTTTTAACTGCTTGTGCACATTGTCTTAACATGAAATATAGATTCTGCTAAACTTTTTTCTAGTTATTATAAACACTATATATTTTCATATTAGGATTTAAATGAGCATTTTTCCATTAATTTGTACTTACACTTAATGATTTATTTTGAATAAACCTTTTGAAAAATGACATGATCATGACAAATGCAGGTATCTTAATGCAGGCTTTGATGCTTCAGAAAGACATAAATTTCAATGTTGTATATTTATTATTTTAAAATGTAAGATGTTGAAACAAATGTGCATCATGTTAAATATTTTTCTGAGCATCCAGATTGCTTGGAATTGATGTTAAAGCCTCTTTACTATATTATGTATTCTTGGTGTTCATACTTTATAGAAGTGAAATAATTAATTTGTATTTGTTTTAAATTTGTAAATAATTCATATTTACTACATATGATACAGAGAATCCATTGCTTTGGTCATCTTTATGATTGAGTGGACCAGTGCATGTAACATGGATTTAGTTTTTGAAAAATGAAATTATATTTGTACCCTTGGGTCCTGTCCAACTCAGGAACACTTTTCAGTAATGTCCATCTTTTACTAACAATAAAAATAGAACTGCTAACTTTGGAATATTATGTTAAGTAGACCTGTTTTAAGCCACTCTAATTACTGTGGGTGTCTATGCATGTTCTCCGATGCATTCTGATTAGAACACATTGGAGCAGACTCGATGAATTGAGTCTGCTGGAGCATTCTAATTAGACCACTACAGCGTGCTGCAGTGTCTCTCGTATTCACTGTTCCATAGTTCAAAATGGTAATGGGGATGCTTTAACTGAAGCTTGTCGAACGAACTTTAGTTAAAGAACCCCCACTGCTGTTTTGGAATGTGGGATACTGAATATACAAGATGTTGCACCATTTTAGTTGGAGCGGCTCCCAAGAAGCACTCTAATTAACACCCTCCCCCACCCGCCCGTCCTCCCCTGAGCACGTGGATAGGCACACCGTGTGTTTAAGCCAGTAACAATAGCCAATTGGTTAGCCCTTTTGAAGCTGAACTCTTCTCATAAGTGAAAGAAACTTTTGAAATATTTGTGTAGTGTAGTGGTCTCAACTTTTTTATGCTCCAGGCCTGTCTCTAACTTTTTGTGAATTGGGTATCACCCCATTTCTGAAACCAATGTATTTAATACAGTGCTTGCCTTATTGCATAGGGGCTGGGCAGGGATGAGCATGCATTTACCTTCTCGTGCTCTGTGGCACCCTAAAAAGGAAGGTAAGAGCCCAGGTTGGGGCTGTTGTATCATGGAAATAAATGTTTTTGAGTCAGTAGTGTTGATGTGAAGGTTTAGAATTCTTTGACACTGGGCAGATGTTCTGGGAAGGACTGTTATCAAGAGAGAGGATCCATCTGACCAGAAATGGAAAGAGCACATTATCTGGCCCGCTTACCAATAAAACTTTAAATTGGGTTCCATGGGGATGCCAAACAAAACTCTCCAGAAACTGAGCAAGTGATCAGGAGGGGAAAGGCATGGAAACAGCTCAGCTTGGGGCTGGGGCCAGGGCCAGGAAGCTAGAAGACAGCAACAAGGAATACAAAAGGGAAACAAGCAGGTCAAAATGCAAAATAAATATGCATGTACAGAAATGTGATGCAAGTATATAAATGTGAAAAATATGGGGAACAAAAAAGATGTGCTGGGAGTTGCAGCTTTTGAAAAGAGCTACAATCTGGTTGGTATCACAAAGACTTGGTAGGACAGATACCGCAACTGATAAGTCAACATTAAGGGGTACACTGTATTGGAAAGTCAGGGTTGGAAGGAAAAGAAAAGTGGCGTTGTTTCCTTATATGTCAAAATTATGTACACATGTTTTCTGGTTCAGGAGTAAGAAAGTAGCAGCTCAGAACATACTTGGGTAAAGATAAAAGACACAGCACCATTACAATGGTGGGGGTTTAGTATAGAACAAGTCAAGAAAAAGAGGTAGAGGAGGCACTCTTTCTGGAAATGACAAAATTATGCAAAAGTTATGAGATGGTATTGATGGAAGACTTCAATATTCTGGACCACTGCTGGATGAATAATATGACCAGACATAAAATATTGAGGAAGCTCCTCAACGTTGAGAATAGAGCTACGTAATCATCTACTTTGGGTCTTGTCCTGACCAAAAGATTAAAAAAAATATCCCTTTTACCTGGCAAGAGAAATTTAAAGAAAACACAAAGAAGTTCTATAAATACATTGGCCAGAAAAGAAAGATCAAGAAAGCTGTGGGTTTACTGTTAAATAATCAGGGCAAACTTAAAGGAAAATTCAAAGAAGATGGAAATACTCAACAGCTATTTTATATTAGCCTTCACAAAAAAATTGAGCTGCAACCAGGCACCTAATAAGCAGGGATCCTGGTTTTCCCAGATAAAAAATGGTAAATTCTCTGATAGCGCCCCCCAAATCCGTGATTAAAATGAAAGGCCCCCCCACAGCACCCTGGCCTTGCTGGTTCCCTTCACTCCCCCAAGAAGATGGAAATACTCAACAGCTATTTTATATTAGCCTTCACAAAAAAATTGAGCTGCAACCAGGCACCTAATAAGCAGGGATCCTGGTTTTCCCAGATAAAAAATGGTAAATTCTCTGATAGCGCCCCCCAAATCCGTGATTAAAATGAAAGGCCCCCCCACAGCACCCTGGCCTTGCTGGTTCCCTTCACTCCCCC